TGTAGCTTTATTGAATGAACGACTGAATATATTAATTCTGTGAGTGCTGAGGCAATGTTGTTGACTGTTATATAAAATAAAGTCTTTATATGATACTCATCATAAACAGTTGACTAAATATAAAACCTTCAACATCCGCTTGTATGAAAAATGATTGGCACCTCTTCCATTTTTTGCCCCTATTAGCAAGAACTTCGCTTTGATAGCACAAAGCAGATACATTCTTAGGTATCTTTCAGGAAAATGCTCCCTTAGCATTTTTCTCAGCGCCTCAATCTTCTAAGTTCTTAGTGCCTCCTGACCTTCTATAGACCATGAACTACCCTGATCTCGCGTCAATAGAATAATTCTCTCTGGGCGGGGGCCGGAATCTTGGAGATGCTGATGGGTCTCTAATATTCTGGTTTTTTGTTTAAAGAAATTTCTAGAACATGCTAGTTCTATCAAATTGGGCAAACAACCTTCTAAAACAAAACCCCTGAGATGGGTTTCATGTGAAATAAAAAGCACTGATAATGAGCGGGAAAGAATCTTGATACAACTGCCCCAAATCTACATGAAGATTAGATTCCTGTCTGACTTGGTTTTACAGCCCTTTCTTTAATCACAGCATATCTGATGTTCTCTTCCTTGAACACACTCATTTTCCTAGTAGCTTTTGTCACAAGATTTAAGAATCGCTAACTCATTGCTCCAAATAGGAAGAGCAATTCTAATTCAGCTCCCTTAAGCAATGTCCCCTGCCTGGTCTTCAGCCACAGAAACTTCAAGCCTGCCCTCTGCAGGTGGAGAGGTAAAGTGCATGCTTCCCAGTCATCGAGAGCTTGCTTTCTAAAGTCCCACCAAGTTCTGAAAAAAAAAAAAAAAATTTACACTAACTGTGACAGGGATATTGATGATAATATGTGGGACACCCCTTTCATTTTATAAATCGCTTTTTGAAAGTAGCAACCACTTGGTGAAAAAACAACTTAAATTACACACGCAAAATACTCCGGTCACGGGTAGCCATCAATTCTTTTTGCCTATCTTGAAAAATCCAAATGGTTTAGATGAACTGTAGTCTTCAAAGCATGTGCGTTAAACATGTCTTGACTGGCCCCACCTTCTTCTAATCAAACAAACTACTCTTTGTCCAGTGACCAAATCCCCCGCTTTCACCAACAGTCCAGGTTGCCATAGCTACCTTGTGTGTCTATTGACTACACACAAGGGATCAAAGCTGGGAGACATCCATGTCCGCACACACCCTTAAAACTTGCTGGAATGTCTGCGGATAACATGCAACTACCAATTAACGGATTTGCTCACAGTCCACGCAGACCACAGCCAAGCAAACCCCGAATACGCCTCGTAACAAATGGCAAGGAAAAGCCAAGCAAAACAAACAAACAAAACAAATCAAAATGACCAAAAAGGCTCTGTAAGTTAACAAAAAGTCTTACAATTACAACATTTCCAGCAAAGAAGAGATAAGAGGGAAGAAATTAACATTTTAATGTATGTTAAAGTATGTTACCATATTTTGAGGACATTAGGGTCCACAAACCGTATGCAAAACTTAAAAACATCTGTTGTAAAGAGAACGTTTCTCAGACTCATATATAAAATTTCAGTTAGTTACAGTATCTTCCTGTTAGAGGTCATAAAGGTGGCCTATCTCAGAGTTGCAACAAATGAGAACAGAAATGCCTTTTAAACTTTCAAAGGCTTGACTTTCAAATAAAGGCAACCAGACAACCCACCTGGGGCACTACACGCTGCTTACAGAGCCATTAGAAATCAATGTTTTACTCCCTAGCATATCATTTGCGACCCCAAGCCTGCACAGGTAGCCCTTCTGGGTGGGGGTGGATCCCTTGTCATTCCTGGGCTTGCCCCTAACTTGCTATGTATCTTTGTACTTAACCTTTCTCTGCCTTCACCTTCCCGTTTGTTCAGTGAGGATCAAATTGCCACCTCCTTCTCTCCTGGGGATGTGGCAAAGAATAAATAGATCAAGTTTGTAAAGGACTTTCTAATCCTCAGAGGAAAGATTAATACAAAGCCTTTCATTATTAAACCAGACGTCCTTGGGCATTTTAATTCCAGCCGAAAGAATGCAAAACAGGCTAATCAAACGGAGCCACAGCTCCTAGTAACGGCAGCATCCGAGCTTAGGAAGAATTTAACAGCTACTTAAAACACTGACTAACGACTTCATTTTATCCCTTCTCATTATAGGGCAACTGCGCTGACTCGTTTAGTCCATGGGAGATCGAGTGCATGCCCTCTTCCCTTCGAGGTTTTTCCAAAGTTGTCAGGATGTTCAAAATACAAAATATGTCTGCTAGGCAACTTTGCCTGGAGGGCTGATCCTTTTTTCTCCCCCCGCACCCGCCCCAACCCAGCTCGAGAATGACTTATTTGTTCTTCTCATGTACGGGGACAATGGGTGTCTTGCTGTGTAGGGAGGGTATTTGCAGTTGCGGCAATGCCACAGGCAAACCTGTTGGTTTTGGCTGGATTTCTAGAACAGGTGGCTGTGCCTCCCCTTTTGCCTGGGAACAAGCACATTCCTTCTCAAGGAAGTTTCAGGAAAGTTTCCCATTAGGATCAGGGTGGAGAGAACGGTTGGCACCCACTTTAAAACTGCTTCCTGAGAAAAGTGAATTGGGCTTGCACTTTTCTTTTGGCCTGTCTCAGCGTGGCCTTAGGAACGCTCCACCAACACCGTCCTTCTACTCGGTTCTTTTTTGGTCAACCTGGCAGAACTCCCAACCCCTCTGAATCTGATCACCAGGCAGGCAGCTTTCTAGTTCTGCTGGCCAGTCAGTGCGGTCAGTTGGTGGCAGGTCTGTCCCGGGCTGCCCCACCATTGTTCAGCATTTTGCAGCCCCAGGGACAGATCTTTCATCAGCGTGAGATTGAATTTCATTGCGGAGCTGACGACACGCAGGCCTGTTTGATAGTTAACCCTGTGAATCCAGCTGGGGCTGCGGGGCTGAGATGACAAATGGGCTGGTGGGTGCTATTCACCCCACCTGGGCCCACCAGTCAGTTCCCCCAAAAGAAACTTCCATAAAGTTAGGATTAACCCCGGCCAATAACTCCACCAGCCCATTTCCCCCTAATACACTCGTCCTAGCTGCCATGGAAAAATGTGTTACGTTAGGTTCCTGAAATGCATGACTGTCCGGGTTCTTGGGACCAGCAATGATCTTTCCCCTCTCTTCCCCATTCCCTCCCGTCCCACCCTCCTTTCAAGTACTGAACAGCCCCCCAAAATGATTAGACATACAAAGTTGTCCAGCCATTAAATAACTGAGGAGTTGCTGCACGCGTGTACCTGCGCCCTTGAAACATCAATACTCATCTACTTTCCAGCTTCAAGTCGATGCCACAATGAGCTAAGCATGGGACAAACCATCCCGCAAGTGGGACAGCATGCCTTGGGCATCAGGCTCAGGGAAGGCCACCGTTCCAGAGGAACTGTGTGGGAACAGGGATTCTGAAAATCGAGCTCAGCCACCAAAGAGAGGACAGGTGGCTGCGTACAGGATCCAATGACTTCTTTGTTCCAGCTAAGGACCTTTTTTCAGAACCTGTTTTGGGTGCCTCTTTTTCCTCTTAAATCCTTTCCATTGGGGCTTCGCGCCTCTTTTCCTCATCCCAGCTGATTGCTCGGCATAAAAAGAATGAGGTTGGACTGAGAGTTTTCAGAACTTAAAGCAAATGCCCCTCCGCCCAACTGCGTCCGGTCAGGCGCGGGAGATTCATTCCAAGCACACGCCCCTCGCGAGCCCAAAAGTGCTCTGCTGCAGCGCCGAGGCTTGCCACGCACGCTTCGTCAGGGAGCAAGTGGGGGCCAAGAAGCCAGGCGGTTGCCCGTTTGGTGGGGGTTTGGCTTCCCCTCCACAAGCTGCAGCAAATGGATCAAAAGTTCCAAACCCCTCGGCCCCAGCCCCTTTACTAAATGGAAGGTTTGCTTCCTATGCAAACTGCTTCGTGCAAAGTGTGCAGGGCGGCATGGGTGCGAATCCACTTAGGGAAGAAAAAGTGAAGAGCTTGTCTGGTGGCAAGACAGATGCTAATTTATCCCATCCACCCAGGCAAAAGCAGTATTATCTCTCGGAATTCCTTGCCTTCGCCAGGCTACTGGCATGTTTTCTCAGTCTAGTCTTCCCCGTGTATGAGTATTGACTTTGATATTTCAATATTGACATAAAAGTCTTTCTCTAACTTTGATTGAATTGTGAATTACACCCTCTTCCCGGTTTCTCTACACCCGCTTTTTTTCTTTTCTTAACAGCAAAGCCATAAACTTGCCTGGGCTGATAAGGAATTTTATCACCGTGCCTCAGGGTCACGGAAGAAGCTGCTAGTTTAGAATTCTTTTTAAAAGCACATTGAAGTAACCCCTGAGCCCCTTCCCCGCTTGCCACTTTCACGGCTGTCTTCTCTTGTCCAGAAGCAATACAGTTTCCAAACTGCTGGGACAGAGAAACAAATGTGCATTTTTCTGGAAGGACTGTCTGTGCTCCTTTCGGCCTGGTTCCGCCTTCTCAGCCCACAAACACAGTCAATGCTCAGAACCGGGAAGCCAACGGGAGATAAGCGGCCCCGTGTAATTCTTTTTCAGGACATTCCCTTGTCTTTATTGGAAGGCAAGGCATTGGATACAGGCTAAAAGAATGAGAGAGGTCCTGCACAATACGTTGCAGCCACCGCAAACTGGAATTGATTTACATATCCACAAACCGCTTTTATACCCTTTACAATGACGGCCTGACATCACCAATCACCATCAGAGGCCAAACTGGGGAGGGGGTGCCCAGGCCCGGGGAGACCTCAGGGAACCTGCTTCTTTGGTTCCCTTCGGAAAGCGCAGCCCTGTCTCCATGCCAAATGCATCAAGTTGAACAGGCGTCTGCTAACTCAGGCTCTCCGGGTAACAGATCCCAAGGGTGCAAGCTGCGCCCCACCTCTGCACCCCCCCAGCGCAGCCCCCCGGAGCTTACCTGCCTCATGTTTAGAATCCCATGATCCATCCGGCAGGGAGCGAGCTGCATGGAAGCCCACACCACAGTCGTTTAAGAGTGCAAACCCCGAACCCCCAGAAGCCCGCAAGACAAAAGCAACTCTCAGCGAAATCCGCCAGCAGCTCCGAGCACGTTTTCTGCCTCTTTTTCTTTGATCTGTTGCTACACGCACTCTGCCCAAGACAATGTCAAGTTTCTCAACCTTTTCTCTCCCAGCCTATGAAAAGTCGGGCGCAGGGAAGCGAGGACCGCCTGACTCTTATTTCAAATCAGGGCTCAGAGACTTCTTAGGTGGCTGGCTCAGGGCCCCGAGCCGCCCCGCCAATCAGGAGGGAGGGGCGGGCCGCGGCAGCCAGAAAGGCTGCCTCCACCAGGATTAGGAGAGCTTTCAGGATTTAAATGGCTGGGAGCAGCTGGAAACAGGGTCTCCAGCTCTGAAGCGGGCAGTCCATTTGTGCTGTCGGAGTTCCATTCTTATCTAAGAGCTCTGGGTCCGCGCCGAGCTTAACTAGCTTCAGGCCTTACGTCCTATCATTTTTAGAGCTCCCTAAAAGCACAGTAGCATTTGGAAGGTGTAGAAATATTCCAGCCAGTAAAGTTCAACACTCATAACCCAGCTGGATTTTTAAAAGGGGATCTTGCAAAGACACTGGGGAGGAACCCAAATTGTTCTGCGAGACACGTTAGCTGACACCAGCAATCAAGGAAAGAGGGGGCTCCCCACCTCATTTCCATAAAAGATGAACTGTGTAGCTGCTCGAAGAAAAACCAGCTTAATGGAATGTGCGCGCAAATCTTTGAAAAACAGCAAATGAACAAGAATTTTTAGGGTTTTTGTTCCTATTACAACAATAAACATTAAAGTTTTGTTAAGCAAGTTTTTTTTTAAGTAAGTATATTTACCTTTCACTACTGTTCACCTCGCCTGCAAAATTGATCTGAATTTATGAACAGGGAAGAGCTGGATATCACCTCGGCAAGATAAGAGGAGAGCTAGCTAGTTTCTTATAAACTTAAACCCAGACCTAAAGAGAATTACCAAAGTTTGCTTTCTTAACTCCATATAAACACGAAATCGTTGCAACTCTTAACCACTATGATTTCAATGCTTCATTTTGCATGAGTGGCACATATTTGTGTCCTACAGAAGTAACCAACATTTTGTGAAAATCATTCAATAAATATTTTCAAATTTGGGGGATCAGAGGGAAAATAAAAACAACTTAGCTAATGATGAATCAGCAACGTCTCCAGTGCTTTCTGCATGGGTTCAATATGTGTGAGTTTGCCCAGTTTGGTGAAAATTTGGAAGGCCTAGATCCCAGCCTGGGGGTCCATAACCCTATCCCAGCCCCCACCTCAGCAGTCAATGACACAAGCTGACCTCAGTCCACCTCTGGTAGTTATTTCAGAGCCCTTCACTATGACATCAACCAGGGGTTCTCATTCTCAGCACTATTGACATTTGGGGCCGGATAATTCTCTGTGGTGGGGATGTCCTGTGCACTGTAGGATGTTTAGTAGCATCCTTGGTCTTTATCCTTCAGATACTAGGAACACCTCCCCCATCACCATATTGAGACAATCAGTAATGTCTCCAGACTTTGCCAAATGTCCCCTGGGGGGCAAAATTGCACCTGGTTGGGAACCATTGATTTACAGGCTTTGAAATACTGGTTCTCAAAATTGAGTGTGCAAGAAAACTTCTGGGGAGATTGTTTAAAATCCAAATCCCCAGGCCCCTGCTCCAGGGGAATCTGATTCAGTAGGTTTGAGGGGGAGCCTGAGAATCTGCATTTTATGACACTGCCAAAGGATTTGGATTCACTTTGAGAAATACTGCACCTAAGACAGGCCTGGTGATCTGCTTCCAAAAGGTCATAGCCTTGAAAACCCTACGGAGCAGTTCCACTATGCACACACGGAGTCGCTGTTGGCTGGCATTGACTCTACGGCAACAAACAACAACAATGCTGGCCCAAGGCGTACTCTTAGTCCCAGGACACAGGGAGCTACCCAGGTCTGTGGCCATTAAATATCATTGGAGGTACATTTCTCCAGGGAATATGTACAAATGGCCGGTAAGCACATGAAAAGATGATCACGAGATTAGTCATTAGGCAAATGCCAACCAAAACCACAGTGAGATACTTCTTCACTCCCACTAGGACGGTTATCATTAAAAGAAAGGAAAATCCCAAGTCTTGGCTAAGATGTGGGGAAATTGGAACCCTTGTTTATTGCTGGTAGGAATATAAATCAGTGCAGCTGCTGTGGAAAACAGTTTGGTGCTTCCTCAAAAAGTTAAACATAGAATTACCATATGACCCAACAATTCCACTCGTGGGTATATACCCAAAAGAATTGAAAGCAGGAACGCAAACAGATATCTGCACACCACTGTTCACCGTAGCATTAGTCAAAATACCCAAAAGGTGAAAACAACCCAAGTGTCCGTCGAAGGATGAATGGATAAATGAAATGTGGTCTATCCATACAATGGAATATTACTCAGCCATAAAGAGAAATGAAATGCTATGACATGGATGAACCTTGCAAACACTATGTTGAGTGAAATAAGTCAGACACAAAAGAACAAATATTGAATGATTCCACTTATATGAAGTATCTAGAGTAGAACTGCTCCATAGGTTTTCTAGGCTGTAATCTTTATGGGAGCAGATTGCCAGGTCTTTCTCCCCTGGAGTGGCTGGTGGGTTCAAACTGCAGACCTTTCCGTTAGCAGCCAAGCACTTAAGCAGGGCTCCTTTGAAAGTGTATAGACCAGCTTATTAGTGATCACTAGGGGCTGGGGAAGGAGTCCTGGTGGTGCAGGGGTTAAGAGCTATGGCTGCTAACCAAAAGGTCGGTAGTTTAAATCCTCCAGCCTCTCCTTGGAAACCCTATGGAGTAGTTCTACTCTGTCCTATAGGGTCACTAGGAGTTGGAATCTACTCGACGATGAAGGGATTTTTTTTTTTTTGGTTGGGGCTGGGGAGAGGAAGGAATGGGAGTTATTGCTTAAGGGGAACTGAGTTTCTGTTCAGGGTGATGGAAAAGTTTGGAAATGGTTAGTGTCTTAGTTATCTAGTGCTGCCATAACAGAAATCCCACAAGTGGATGGCTTTAACAAACAGAAATTTATTTTCTCAGTTTAGGAGGCTAGAAGTCCGAATTTAGGGCACTCGCTCTTGGGAAGGCTTCCTCTCTCTGTTGGTTCTGGAGGAAGGTTTCTTCTGAGCTTCTGCTCCTGGGCAATCTTCATGTGCTTGGCATCTCTGTTTGCTCGCTTGCTTGTTTAATATCTTTTATATCTCAAAAGAGATTGACTCAAGATATACCCAACACTAATTCTGCCTCATTAACATAAAAAAAAAACCAACCCATTCCCAAATAAGATTATAACCACAGGCAGAGAGGTTAAGATTTACAACATATATTTTGGGGGCACACAATTCAGTCAATAACAGATAGTGATGACAGTTGTACACCATAGTGAAAGTAATTACTGTCATTGACTTATACAGGTAAAAATGGCTGAAATGGCAAATTTTTTTATATATATATTTTACCACGATAAAAGCCATATCACTGGAGTTAAATCCCAAGCACATCTATTTATCCCCTTCAATAGAAGCTTCTCACAAGTGTGTTTGCCTTCTGCTGTCATCACCTCAAAGGTCAATGTCAGCTGCGATTTCCTCTCTCAAAGATGTGCCCTTCCAAAGTTTCATCCATTTGTCTTCTCCTTTGGACCACTCCCCCACTATCTTAGAAGTTCAAATGTCACCACCTCTTTCATGGTTTCCCTGAACGCCCCAAAACAAGTTAATTCTTTCCCTTCTCTATGTTCATAAAGCAATTTATATACACTCAGTGGTGTGCTAGAAAATGTTTAACAACCAGCTCTCAAAAAAAAAAAAGTACAGATTTGTAGTAGCCTTTGCCAACTTCCATGGTGTAAATACTCTCTCCCTTCCTGCAGTGAGGACACTGAGGGGGAAGTTGGGAGAGCTGTGCCCAATCAGGAGATGGTAAGCACCAGATGGGGTATGCCATAGTACACCTCTGTTGTTTCACTTCCACTCTGTACTCCAATGATATATTCTTGAATCTGCCTCTCCTACTAAATCATAAAACTCGCAAGGGCAAGAGTGGTGTCCTATTTATCTTCGTAGTCCCAGTCACTTTCACGACCCCTACCATGCAGTAGATAGTCAGCAAACATTTGTGGAAAGAAAACAAATGCACTGTGTGGCTTCCCCCAGACATCAAGACCAGTCAGACTGCTACCACAGCCATATTGTGAAAGGGAGAAGAATCACCTGGACAATTAAACTATTAAGTTAACCTTCTTACCAGAATTTAATATCTAGTCTGTACTTATGAAAACAATAAGCACAAGGCCATTTCCCATCCTAACCCTCCCAAATTTGAGCTATATCCAGATCAGAGGGAAAGAGAGGAGACTAGCTTTCTAAAACAGAACCTCATATTTTTCTATGAAGGCACCACAAACTGCAAACATAAACATCTGTCTTACTCTAGACACGTTATCAGGAGGGATTAGTCCCTGGAGAAAGACATCATGCTTGGTAAAGTAGAGGGTCAGCGAAAAAGAGGAGGACCTTCAACGAGATGGATTAACACAGTGGCTGTAATAATGGGCTCAAGCATAACAACGGTTGTGAGGATGGCGCAGGACTGGGCAGTCTTTCGCTGTGTTGTCCATAGGGTCGCTATGAGTTGGAACTGACTTGACGCCACCTAACAACAACAACAGCAACATGAAAGGGCATTTTTGTAAATAAGTGATACAGTGATTGATGGCGATTATCTCTATCACCTTTTCATAACGCATCAGGATATGAAGGCTAATGGGCATGCCATTAACAAACACCATTTACGAGTGCACACTGGGAGTCAAGCATTGTGCCAAGCACTTCACCAATGTGCACTGTTTAAACTCTATCCGAATACCAAAAGGTAAGTACTACCATCATCAGATTAAGGATGAATAAACAGTATCATTGGAACAAAGGAAATAAGCCAGGTTCTTACTTTGTGGCTCAGATTAGAATAATTCTGCTTTTTTCCCTAAAATATGCTCCCTCCAGAAATGATTCAGAAAACTCCTATGGAAAATGAACAATGGAAATAAATGGAAGTCGTCTTTTTAATTTATAAATAAACAAATGTAATTTAAAAAAAATTCTAATTAGGCAAATGGCCCATTGGGGATTG